GGGCCGATCGCCAAAACGGTCGCACGACTCAAAAATCGGCTCAAAATGGGCCAAAAATCGCACAGTGTGAGCCCAGCATAAGCCCAGCATTAGAAAAAGCAGTGATACAGATTCGCCAAAGTGAGCTTGTTAAGAAGCAGCAGGATCTTCTTAAAAACAACATCAAGCAGGAAAATCCTTGTAACATGGACATCATTAAAGCAAAAAATAAAACACTTCAAACCAAGAAAGACTGTGCCACAAAACAAAGAGAGGAATGAGTAAAGTCAATGCAACCGATGTGGAAAGACACCCTTTCACAGCAGGAACCTGTGCCCAGCCAAAGAGGTATTCTGCAATCAGTGTAAAAAGAAAGGTCACTATGCAAGGGAGAGATATGGGGTGGCTGTAGCTCAGGTGGCAGAGCACTAACCAGAAGGTCGGTGGTTCGATCCCAGGCTGCTCTAGTCTGCATGCCAAATATCCTTGGGCAAGATACTAACCCCGCGTTGCTCTCCGATGCATCCATCGGAATGTGAATGTGTATGAATGGTAGACTACTTAGCACTTAGGTCAGAAAAAAGTGCTTGTGTGAATGGGTGTGATTGGGTGAATGAATTAGTTGTATAAAGCGCTTTGAGTGCTCAGACAGAGTAGAAAAGCGCTATATAAGAACAAGTCCATTTACCATTTACCAGATACGTGCAGCAGGTGGTGACAGTGAAGAAAGGGAGGTAGCATTTTTGGGAACAGTAGCATCAGAGAGAACTGAGGATGCATGGATGACTAAAATAAAAGTTAACAACGTAGACTGCTGGCTCAAAATTGACACAGGAGTGGACGTAATCGTCTTGCCTGAAAAAGAGTACAATGCTCTAGCACAAAAACCACTGCTGCAACTCACAGATCTGAAACTGTATGGGGCGGGAATGTCTCCACTAGCAGTTAGAGGGAAATTTACAGCTAACCTGAGCACTCCAAGCAAAACTACAGTACAGCCTGTGTATGAAGTAGCAGACCTGACGCAAGGGTTACTTAGCCGCCCAGCAAGTGTAGCACTTGGGTTAGTGGCCAGAGTAGAAGCAGTGTCGCTCACTTTGGTAGAGGCAGTAAAGCAGCAGTTTCCAAAACAATTCAACGGGTTAGGCCAAATGGAGGGGGAATACAAAATTGAGCTTAAAGCAGACGCTAAGCCATTTGCCCAGTCAACCCCAAGAAGGGTCCTGCTTCCCCTGTTACCCAACGTCAAAAGAGAGCTAGCTCGTATGGAAGAGTTAGGGGTAATCTCCAGAGTAGAGCAGCCTACTGACTGGTGCGCAGGAATGATTCCAGTACCCAAACCAAACAGAGATGAAGTGCATGTGTGCGCGTTGACTTGACCAAACTGAACAATTCTGTGAAAAGAGAAAGACACATGTTGCCATCAGTTGAGCACACCCTAGGACAGCTAGAGGGTGCAAAGTTGTTCTCGAAACTTGATGCTAACTCAGGATTTTGACAAATACCTTTGTCCAAGCAGTCAGCTCTTCTCACAACCTTCATCAAGCCATTCGGAAGGTATTGTTTCAATAGACTGTTTCGGCATATCCTCAGCCCCTGAGCATTTTCAAAAACGAATGTCTCAGCTTTTGGAGGGGCTGGACGGAGTTGTCTGCCAAATGGATGACATTTTGGTTTACACTGACACACAGGCCCAGCATAACAAGAGACTAGTCGCAGTCCTTGAGCGGCTCACAAAAGCAGGTGTGACGTTGAAAAGTGAGAAATGTGAGTTTGCAAAAACCTCAATCATTGATTGATCATTGACAGATCATTGATAGTACAGGAGTCATAGCAGACCCAGTTTGTGCTTTGGGACTGTAGAGTGCCAAGTTTGGTGGTTTACTCAGTTCTGACTTAATGCTGTCAAACGCTGTTTGTTGAGCCTCACTCCAACACCACGTTTTTGTTCTCTGGAAGTACTGGAGTCAGGATCTGAGCATGCAAGCAGGACTCTGCAAGCAGCACCATCATACAAGCTGGTGAGTCTGTAGGAAGAGATGGAATGGTGTTCTCCCTTTGACTCTGCAGCTAAAAGGTGTCCTTCTCTGAGAAAGGCTTCACAGTCTGAAGTGTGTCTTTGGTGGAGTGGAGCTCCTGCTGCTCTCTTCCACTGTTGCCTTTCTCTTCTCACCCTGTGCAAACCTCTTTAGAACCTGGCAGAGCACCGACATTATAACTCTGCCCTCTGAGCTGTAGTCCTTGACTTTCCAGCAGTTTGTGTCTTCTGTGTCTACAGATGGCTGCTATTTAAAGGACGGTTCCTCAAGTTTGGGACGACCATCTGACACACACTGACTGAGACTCACCAGCTCAGCTACGAGAAAACAGAACGGTCATCTATGTTAATCATAACATAATCAGACAAATTAAGGTTTTAAATGTCAGGACATGGCTTTATATCATCATATACTATTTCCACACACAGGCAATAAGAGACCCACAGCAGAACTCATTGTTTATAAAAGCCTTAACATTTTTCATGTGGTAGAAGGTGAGAAAAATTATGTTGCATTGTTAATGGTTCAACTGGAGTTGTTATAGGGCCAGAGGCGGGGGTACCGGACAGGTTGCCATCAGACACAGAGAGGGCTAAAACAGAGAAACTAGCATTCACACTCATATTCACACCTATGACTAATTTGAAGCACTATATCTATAGCATTATATTCCACACACAGGCAGTCAGGAACCACAGCAGAACTTATTTTTATGAAAGCCTGCACTGTAAATGGCTAAATGGCTTGTTTTAAACCAAAGATCACGCCAACAATTTCAAATTCAAATAAAAAACTAAGCGTGTTAGCATGTTGCAAACACTAAATAAGTCCTGCTGATAGAAATCATTTGCAAAATTATTATGTCAGCTGCATCGAACTTAAAAATGTAGCTCACAGTAAAGAATAACTTTCTTGGTGACTGTGAACAAAGTTTAATGGAGTATATCAAAATTTGTGATAAATGAATGTAACCCATATTATTTGTGAATTATGGACATATTGTCGGTAAGGTTGCAAAGAGTTTCAGTGATGTTTGATACTGAATTTATGTTCAGCACTTAGGTTGTCATATTGTTATTTTAGTTAAGCATCAATCTGTTGAAAATAAAACCGCTAAAGGCAGGTGAGAAACCTCGAACCTGCTTATTGCATGCACACAGTTTCAAGTTCTCACCGAGATATTAACATACATCTGGACCCCTGTAATGCACTAGCATAAATATGATATATTTAATTAGATCAGCATCTCACAGTAGCCATAAGTGATTTTGCACATAATGCCTACAAGATCAAATTTGGTCACTCCCTAACCTCCCAAAATTAGGCTTTATCATTTTCATTTTATTTTATTTTTTATTAATTTTCCTAGCTTTGTAAACTCAACCAGTGTCTCTGTCCCAGTCGCCATGTTTGTCCTGGACTTTCACACTCATGAAATCTTACTCGCTTTAAAGCAATAAAAGGCCCGTCTACGGTGTATTTGTTTGCTTAAATATTCAATTAGGCTATACTTATTAGCTTACTAAGCTTTACCATAGCGGTCGTCAAGTATGCGGTTGATACCAAGGGACAGCAAGTATTGCTCACGCCGTAATCCACAGGCGGCTATTTTTGGGTGGTTCAATTGTCTTATTCTTCAAGTTTTGAAAACTTTGAAAGTCGCTGGTAAAATGCAGAGTTTTCACAGCACTAGTTACAAAAGCTCCTCTTAGCACTCTCAACACGTCATCCTCATCACCTTCACTCCCAGTGTCATCAAGCGACGCGGCATAAGCATTTGTGCTTTATTTATTCAGAATGAGTTTCCCATAATTATCATATTTCTAAAAAAAAAAAATTCTCAATTAGTTTCACATTTTCGATTCATAAATATTTTTAATATGTAAAAATATCAAACCTTACTAGGAAAGCATTGCGGTAACAATGACGAAAGTGCTGGGGTATGACGTGCTGTGTGAGGCACGAGTAATGTATTTTGGAATATGGGAAAATGTAAGAAA